TGTTGAATATTCGGGGGTCTAGTATGGGGAATTTCCAGGAGGCGATGGCTTCTCCAATTGATCGGGTGGGGCCGGAACTGATGTCTTCCTTCGGCTGATGTCTTCGTGATGTCCAGGGGCAGGGGTAGAGGGGCGATGAGGGGAAAAGTGAGGGAAGGGGTATCCAACGGTGGCGGGATTTACATTTTAGGGGGCAGTGTGTAGTGGGAAAAAATATGTAGAAAAATAATAAAAAATAAATGAATATGCCTCGTCACAACTCAAAATAGTGCCTTTGAAGAAGGACTTGATATTTTTTACAAGAAAAAAGATGTATATATTTTGGGTTGACGACCTCAGTCGTCACAATATAAAAGGTTCGTATTTTAGATGGGCGTAATCGGCCAAGCGGTTCTGGAGATATTCAAGTTTTTGTATAAATTTATTTCTTCAAATATCTCATGAACTCCTCAACGGCTGTCAATTTTTTTTCAAAATACTCGTCTCGGCGGCCACTATCCAGATCAATCAAAATATGTACACTCGTTCATACAAAGTTTCCGAGATATTCCCGTTTTTTTTTCATTCTTGTGCGCACGATAACTTGAGACAAAAGAAGATATCAAGTTGAAATTTGGTATGATTATATCTCTCATAATATTAAAGGTCCATATTCTGAATGGGCGCAATCGGCCGAGTCGTTTGGAAGATATTAATTTTTTTGGATAAATCCGTTTTATCAAAAGCTTAGATATGAATTTTTTTTTAATAAAATGATTTTATGGGTGGTAGCAAACATTGATGGTTTCTCATTCGATTTTCTTCTCGTCTTTTATGAAGAAAATGAATTATTTGAAGACACTTTCGAAAAATTGCCCAGGATATCTACAATCCTTGAAAAAATTTTAAAAACTTGTTATACTATTGAACCGATCGGGATAAAATAACGCACCAAAGTCATACATACAGACATGATCCTAAAAGCATCATTTCTTCACGTTTCATAAGATTCTTGATCATTTGCAATCAACATTAGAAAAATGAAAATTCGACCAAAAAAAAATCTGCATTGTGCATATTTTATAAGAAAATGAGATATTAGTTGAAAATCATAGAGATAATTAGTAATACCAGATTTAGAAAATTATTGATATGCCCACTCATCAAGCAATCTCGAATCCAGCAATCTAATCTCTAATTTTCCAGGTTAAATTTCTTCAATATCAACTGTTAGTTAATAATTTCCACATAGAAATAAAATTAACATTGTTGCGTATGTATTACTGTCTTAGGAACAGGGAAGTGGTACGGATCCATTCAGAAGCTTACTACCAATGGAATTGGTAGAAATAAAAGAAATAAAAAGACTAATCACACAAAAAGTAAGAGTCGCATGCCTTCTGTTGAATAGGCTTGAACCCCTGCTTGCTTTCTAGCACAAGTGGAAGGTAGAATTAGAGAGCTTACTCGCAATTGAGGGGCCTGGTTTGTCTTCCTCCATCCACGTACGTACACCAAGCAAATATACTCAGCATTATAATGAATTGATGTGGAGACATCTTCAGTATTCTGAAACACAAATTGAAAGCATTGCTATATTCCTGTAGATAATAGTATTCATCAAATATTTGACTCTTATTCTTTTCATTCTGCAGAGATGGGACAATTTCATTGAGACTCAAGGAGCATAATCCATTGATTTCTTTGCCGAGTAAGCAACATGGCCTTTTCATAAGTATTAAAATTACTGAGTCTAATATCAACCACTGAGATGCCATAAAATCGGTAATTACATTTCTGATAGGGGGTATTAATCGGAACTATACCTTCCTTATTTCCTGAATTTTTAGCTTCTGAATAATGTAATGAGAATATTCCCTAGTCAAGTGAAAATCGGGATTTCCCGCTGCACGATCTCTTTTTATGTACTACTAGAGTACACGAGTGAACATTCATGGTGACTATGTTATAGATAATTCAATCGGTCTGAAAATTGAAATTAAGAAATCAAATAAAATTGAAATTAATGAATCTCTGCTTCGCCTTGAGCCACCAATTTTACACTCTTTAAAATTCCGTCTCAGTCATATCGAAATATACAATTTAATATCTACATTTCAGAATTGTGAATGAAATTTTTAATGAATTGTTATTAGTGTTTAAAGTTAGTGTTTGATGTTAGTGCTTAGCATTGTCTTTTACGAGCCAATCGTGTTTACCGTGAGGGGTTTGATGAGACGGAAATATAGAAAATTTTATGTGCTAACATGGTAAAATGAATTCATTTAATCCAAGTGGAAAAAATTTCGATATACCAATACCAGTTTCGATACCAGTTTTTTTGTCTTGAAGTGAAAAATTCCTGAATTTCGCCACAAAATTTTCGGTGCTGCAGCTTTTTTCTTGTCCGTCAAAAAGAATCCATTTTAGCATGCTCTACAATAATTTTTCTTGTATTTTTTGCTTCCGCATGGAATCAGTGCAATCCTTCGATTGTCACATTCACTAATTTTCATTGGAAATGCTGCAGAATGGTCTGAAACGTAAAAATACGAAGTTTGGCGACCATGTTTGTATGTGACCACGTCCACTACCACCTTCCCGGTGGTCAATTTTTAGAAAATTGAGTAATTAAGTGGCTAAAGTAATTACGATGAAGGTAACAGTTTTTGAGCAAGGACGATTCATTTTTAAATCGTTTTCTGCGAATATCTTCAAAACTAATGGATCGACTTCGATTTATTTTTTTCCAAAATATTCGTTTCGACGCCTTCTATCTAAATCAATCAGTATATATATACCCGTTCATACAAAGTTTTCGTATACTCCCACATTATTAGTGAAAATTAATAGTGCTTCAAGGAACATTATCAGACAATTATCAAAGACAATTATCGATACTAAAATTCAACTTGTACTTCAATATTTTGTCTATTTATTTGTCCAGTCCATTTAAATTATTGTAAATAAATTGACTTGGTTCAGGCCTAAATCACCGGTGTAATTTATGAACAAATTCGCCCTGTACTTTTCTTACAAACAAGTTCATTCCTGCACTGGCCCCTTCCGTCGCCACCCTGGGAATCAACGAAACTCAAGATTTTTAACACTGTCTTTCTCCGAAACCTGGCTGGCCGACTCCCCTCGCCAGCTCCCTGTAATTCCCCATGACTTCAATGCCTCCTGGGTAAATGCATCAAAAAGTCTCAAAGCTGGCCGGCCGAGCGCTGGTCTAGCCGTACTCGTCAACCCAAGTAGGATTTTAGTATTGGTCGAGCCTTGGTCCAAGCTTGGTATGCCAATCGCCAGTAGTGGCCGGCTATTGGCAAATTGAATGGTCGATCATTGGTCCGACATTGAGATGATAACGCCGGGCCAACAATGGCTAATAATAATAGACCAAGCATTGGGATCATTCTCGGGCCCAATTAAGGTTGCAGTCTTGGCCCACAATTGGACCAAGGCTGGTGTGCCAAGTACCAATATTGGCCAATTATAGACCAATCAATTGGTTTGTTATTGGCCCAATATGTGGATGATAACACTGGCCCATAAGTATACAATTGTAAGGGCCATGTCACGGGCCCAAGTAAGGTTCCAGTATCGGTCAATAATTGGTCCAATATTAGAACACTAAATTCCAATATTGGCCGTTTAATTATTCCATCCTGGATCCAACGTTCAAATAATATGTGGCCATTAGTGGCAAATTACAGTGAGCCAATTAATAGTGCTGCGCTACGGACCTGCGCTACTATTAATGGATAATTTTTCTAGAAGTTTGTCTCAATCAGTTTCACTGTAATTCTGTTAATTATTCTTCCAATCGATCATTTATTTTCAGATATTCTGTTACAAGAAGAAAACGTTTTTCATAATGCAAAGTTTCTTTTAATTATTATTAATTTTTAAACTATTTTTTCAACATACATTTGAAAAAAAATAAAGCATAAAAGCGGTTTTTTCGTAGTGTATTTTCCAAGAATATTGATAAATTGAATATATTTTCCACACAACTTTTTTGTCCAACTTTTATCCAAGTTTTTATCTCAAAGAACTATTGAATATTAGTAGCCTTAAACATCCTTTATCTCGACAGTTCACCTTATAAAATATTAAATATTTGAAATAGATAACACAACGATTAATGAAAAAATATTTGTCTTTAGTTTTCTGTTTCGTTTTGAACTTTTCGTTTTTCATCTCGTTCACGACGACCGCCGTCTCTGTCTCCTGCCCCTGATAGCCAGGTAGCCGTAAGCTTCTGAATATCCTTTTCCGTTTGATCATTAAATTGAGTGATTATGGCTTGTTTCATCATTTGACTAGTTTTTGTTTCTTTCCAACTTAACTTGTGTTTGCCATTTACATCTCTACCTGAACCAGAGTATTGCAGTGATACCTCTTTCGACAGAGTATGGCCCATTAATGTTTTCACACAACTTGAAGGCTTATCGATTCTGAACAGTAGCACTCGATAAAGAGAACGCTGAAAATAGGAAAGTAAAAATATTTTGTTCAATTGAGAAAAAAAACGAGTTTTGCATACTAACCAGGGCATCTGCTTGGCTTTCATCTTCAAGTTTTTTATCAAAATCTAAAAAATCATTGAGAGATTGGATAGGAAATTTCGTATCCAATTTTTTGATCAGTTCATTAGGCGATCCATGTGGAGTAGTTGGAATGTTAGGCTGAAGAATTGTATTCTGCATCTGACCTACTTTTGCTGCTAGATCATGAAGTATACTCAATTTAGCACTCTCCACTTCTGCGTGAATAATTTCTCGTATTTGTTGCAGAAAATCTAAACAACAAAAAAATTCTTATGAATCAACAATTTTCACAAAAATCTTGAGATAAATATTATAAATTATATCAATTTGTACCACGAGAACGCTCATCCTGAACGACAGACATTGACAAATGTTTCTGGACAACAGGTTTTGTCAAATTTTTAAACTGCGATGAATTATTTTTTCTTCCTTCAGGCAAATTATCAGCTTGACCTATAAAAAGATTTCATAAAAATTTTTCTTTGATTGAAAAAAGCATAAACAATTAGCTTTTGCGTATTAATATTTGAACATGAATAAACAAAGTGAGAAAGCAAATGAAATTTTCTCTATTTCGCAAGTCTAATTCTTAATGGATGAAAACCAGAAAAAAAAAAGATAATTTTGGTCCAATGAGTGTGTATGCTTGACAATTTTCTGATCAGAGCTAAAAAATCAATTCACAAATAAAAAAAGAACGAAAATTTAAATAAATCACAATTTGTGAATTGAATGAAAAAAATTCCAGAGTGCTCTATCATAAATTATAAACGTTTCCTTTAGTTAAAAAAAAAGAAAAAGATGATTTCCTCAAACATTGACATCACCCACTTTAAAAAAAATTAAATTAATTTAAATTTTAATTCTTCCATTTCAAGAAATGAAAAAAATTATTGAGAAGAAGTTGACCGTTATAGAAAAAAGAAATAAAATAAAATAAAGTTAATAATGAATTGATACCTCGACTATTCTGCAGGACCTCCTCGTCATCACTTGAATTTTCCACATTCCTTGCAGCCTTTGCTGCCAATGAATTCTTCTTGAGACCATCTGGAGAAAAAAAAAGAATATGCAATGAACATTAAACTAGTGTTTTAATTGAAGAAAACACGTGGAAACTTTTTCAAAAATTTGCGAAAAGTTCAGGATTTCCTGGCAAAATTCATCTGCCTTCTCTATTGAAAAAAAAATGTGTTCGAACATTACCAATGGATTGTAATGATAAAAAAATTACGAAGAAAAAACTGATTGGAAAAAAAAATAGAAATTAATCATTGTGTTGTTCACCTTGGATATTGTTTATTCCATCGTCGCTTGAATCGTCCGAATCCGTCAAAACTTTGGGTACATCCGTTTTGAAACCGCCTGGAGAGAGTAAAAAATAAAATGCAACAAAAATTCAAATAGTGTTTTCACTGAGAAAAACAGGTAAAACATTTTTCAAAAATTTAAGAACATCTCGAATTCCTTATCAAAATTAATTGTTTTTTTTTTCATTGGAGAAACAAAATGTCTTCATTTTTCGTTGGAGAAATCTACATTTAACGATTCTTATTCGTTTGCATTAATTTAAAGAAACATTTTAGGAATGTTGATCAGAAAAAAAGTGTTTTTGACCGAGGACATTTTTTATAACCTATTTCGGGAGACACAAAAAAATCTACATAAGAATGTCGTATCTCCGTTCACTTTCGAAATATTTTGAAAAAAACGCAAAAAAATGGAAGAAAAACGAAAAGGTAATTTTCAGGCCAAGTTTTGAGCATTTAAAAAATAAAATATGTATTCTATATGAGTTGATCCATGTTGAACCACTAAAATGTTGCACTGAGCTAGGTGATAATTACTAGAGCTGATTACAATAATTGAATCAATTTTTACAAATAACCTAACTGCAATTTTGAATCGATTAGTGAATAAGTCTAAAAAAGAATTACAATAAACAAAATTAACATAACAATGGCTTCAAATACCTGTTTTCTTTTACGACTTGGCACTCTCAGAATCATCATCGTCACTGTCACTGATTTCATGCACAGGAGAGGTTCTTGCCGAAGCGAATTTCCTCATTGATGCAATCTGCTTCAACTGCTTATTGGCTGGAAGACCAGATTTTGTCGATGTTTTCTTTTTATTCTGAGCACTGCATTCAGCATCTGTGGTATCGACGTCTACTGTGGTTTTTGCCTTATGCAAACGTCTCTTTGCTTTCTCCAAAGAGTCTTAAAGATTGAAACAAAGTCAGCGTTGGAATGGAACTTCTTTGTTTTCAAATTTCCTCACTCTTACCTGCAGTGGAGAGCAGTTCAACTGGGTACTCAGGCCAATTTTTGTGGGCTGGTGTCAAATTCTTCAGAAAATATTCTCTTTTCTCGAAGGAATCGTCAGGAAAATATCTGCAAATAAATTCACCGTCTTTTTCCTCAGTAACCCAGGACATTGGAACAATATCCATCAACTTTTTACCTTTTTTATTCACCTCATCGAAAATTACAATAGCATATATCGAATCCATCATTTCTGAATTTATGTGAACGAAATTATATTTAATTTCACTTAGATAATATATAGACCATCTGAAACACACACACATATACGGTGAAAAACCACATATATACATCGTTACAGTCATATCACTTAGCCGTTGAAAACGCCATGAAAAAAAAATGGAATTGAATTGTACTTAAAATCAAAGTTAATCAATGCGAATTTGATTTTTACTGAAATAATCCTCACGAGCGTTGATATTTGCAGTAGTACTGACAACAAGAGGTTAACAGCACTGACCACGAGTTGTTTTATAAATTTCTTAATATCCCATTCGAATAAAGTACAAGAGAGTGTAAAAGAATTTTCCTTACCTTGTAACGTTACACTCAAATAGTTATTAACTATTACTTGTCTGATAATTAACAATGTTTTGAAAAGCGGAATTATTTCACAATCTTTACCGGTTCTTTGAGGGACGCTCAAGGTTCCCTTAACGTTTATCAACTGCGTTGTGTAAACGCCTCTAGCGGAGCATCCCGAAAATACTGCCGTGTGACTGTGTATGTGACGCTGTGGCAATATGCGGCTTCAGAGATCTATTGTGCTTTATGCCAATGAGAGTTTGAGCTGTTTTGGGTAATTCACTGTGACCTACTCTTCATAGTGACACCAGTAAGTCAGACACCACAGTAAGTATCAGATTATCCAAATTTCGCAGCGTCCATAGTCGAATTTCTTCTTTCAAGTCTACTAACGAGTTCGTCTCGCTCACTATAACATGCACATCTCCAGAACTGTTCTCAGGTTGTTCTTCCAATGAATTGATGGGTCGAAGGTCACAAGGTTCCACCACTTCTTCCAGGAGCACTTCAGTATTTTTAGAACTTAATTCAGGATCTTGAGTCAGCACTGAGTTAACCTCTAAATTTGCACAGTTTTTTATTACACTGTTATGATCAATATTGTCTGAATCATCATAACTACATTCTGTGTTGGAATTATTGATACACTTCTCAGATTCCTCCTTCAATTTTTTTAGTATTCGATGTTTTTGTAAACGATAATACCTGGATGACATTTTTTAATTTACGACTAAATCGTTTTGTTCAATCGTCCATTTCCAGCCACATATCATACGCAAGAATTCCACGCGGTTGGCCACATTGGATCTAGAAATTTTCATGCCTAAACTCTAGTTTTTTTCATTTTTTCATTGACTTAACGAAGCAGTGATAAATCAATTTTTCTGTCCCAGTATTTATGCAATTGATTTAATGTTAGTCTAGTATTTGACCGCCAATGATTGGCGACTCTACTCATGGCCTCTCATTATCCAAGCATTGGTGCTCCAATGCTCGGTACGTTCACCTTTGGCCAGGTATCGGCCTTATATTAAAACACCAATGCTTGGAGATCCTTCTCTTGGCCAATTTTTGCCCTGGCGTTGGAGCGCCAGTGCTCGGTGCATCTACAATTGGCCAGCTATTGGCCTAACATTGAAAAACCAATCGTTGGCAGTCCTACTCTTGGCCAATTGTTACCCTACCATTGAGGCGCCAATGATTGGTGTGATTACCATTGGCCACATATTGGCCCAATATTGAAGCGCCAATGCTTGGTGATCCTTCTCTTAGCCAATTGTTGGCCTAGCGTTAAAGTGCCAATGCTTGGTGCATATACAATTGGTCAGGTATTGGCCAAACATTGAAGCGCCAATCGTTGGCACTCTTACTCCTGGCCAATTCTTGCCCTATCATTGCAGCACCAACCTTTGGCGGTTTTACAGTGGGCCAAATATTGGCCTAGAGATGGCATACCGATGATTGGCTTGTCAATATTGTCCATACTATGGTTAGAGATTGGCGTTCAATGTATGGATTTCCATGACTTGGGCCATTCTTTGGCCATCGTTGGGGTCACAATAGTATGTACGCCAGATCTCAACCAAGCAATGGTCCAATGATTGACGATTGGCAAATCCTACTTGGGAAACTCCCAGTCAGGGTCATCGACACATGCGAACAATGGATATTCATTGGATTGTCTCTTAATAATTTTAACGCTGTAATTAGTAATGTATATGCCAAGCAATCCGTAGAATCCAACACTTTTTTAGTCGATTTCCAAATACTTCTGGACCAATTTGATAGCGATCCTGCGATAAATTGACTAATTATTAGTGGAGATTTTAATACTAGGATTGGCTCCCCTCCCACTGTATGTGCCGAAATTTTTTATGATTCCCAACGTCATGATGACAACTCCTCCTCAACTCACATAAAAAAGAAAACTCGGGCAGGACAGTATTTCTAGTTAATTTTATGAATTTAAATGACTGTTTTAATATGAATGCCCGTCACAAGTGAATGGGCATTCTAAGGGTGACAGACCTGCCAATTTTACTTACTCAGGAATTAACGATGTAATGTAATTGATTTGATTTGGATGGAGCCGTCCCAAGTAAATGTCATAAATAACGTCGAGGTTTTATAAGAACAGTCTAGCTCCGATTACTTTCCCGTCATGCTCTCTCTTTTTGACTGTCCCCCACCCATCTTCCCCCGATCACGCCCCTACATATTCTAAAGTGAGACGCTTCTCGCCCCGATATACACCAACTCTGATGCAATTAAATGCTTACTTACAATCTTGTAAATATTAGCGGTATAAACATTAACTCTCCGGATGACCTTTATAGTTATTTTCATCAAGCTAGTCGTCAGTCAGCCAAAAGAATTGGTGTTTGCAAGTCAGTTAATTCCGCCCGATCCTCCAATCCTCTCCCACTTGCCGGCAAACCCTGGTATGACAAACAGTACCTCAAAATGAAAAAACAGCTAAAACACTCCTTCAAAAATCGTAAACGCTCAAATTTGGCCCCAACTCCAAATATATTTACCATATCAATGAACATAAATATGAAGCGCTCTTGCAATACAACATTAAGGAACACAAAATTAAAATCACTAATGCCTTCAATAACATAAAAAATCAGCATGAATTTTTGTCAGCAGTGAAATTGATGAGACTTACATCCTCTCATGTGATGTCATCTCCAATTGCCACCTGGGACGATTTCTATAAAGAGATTTACCCACTGAGACCTCCCTATGAATTTATCCCGACAGTGAACGTTACCCTATCTTTGGAACAGCCATTTACTGAATATGAATTAATTAAAGTCATACATTGTTTAAGAAATCGAAAGGCAACTGGCCCGGATCAAATCTCAAATGGATTCTTCAAGGCACTTCCCGGTACTTGGTTAAACTATCTCCACCAGCTCTTTAACGTTATTCTCAGAATCGAGCCTTGCCCTTCCGATTGGGCTAAAGTCACGCTATCTATGATTTTCAAAAAAGGTGAGTTTGGAGACCCAGCCAATTATAGGGGAATTGCCCTTGTCAACCACACCACAAAAATTTCCAACTTATGTTCTGAAAAATAGATTAGAAACGTGGTTGGAGACAAACAGAATCTTGCGGGACTCGCAATTCGGTTTTCGGAAGTGGAGTAGTTGCGCAGAGGCAATTTTCACTTTGCTGTCGGCTATCTACCTTCAACTCCGTTCGCGGAATTGCTAAGTCCATCCTGTCTTCGTTGATTTTCGCCGCACATTTGATTCTATCCCTAATGACGGGTTGCGGCTCAAGCTAGAAAAATTGGGTATCAGCAGCAAATTAATAAGGATCATAAAATCCTTGTATGATGAGGCAGTAATTCAGGTTAGACCCGGCAATCAGTTCTCTAATGAATTCGAGGTCACCGAAGGTATTTTACAAGGAGAAACCTTAATTTCTCTCCTCTTTATTTTGTACACACCAGACTTAGAATAGTTTTTCAGGGACAAAAATCTGAAGGGTGTGAATATAGATGGTATAAATGACATAAATGTTTATGTACGCTGATGATACCGTGATTTTGGCTGAATCCTACATCGATTTTCAACGAAAATGGAAAGTGCTTGCCGAATTCTGTGATCTTCATGGGCTTGAGGTCAATGTTACTAAAACAAAAATCATGACTTTGAAGCAAACCGGGAGAACGAAGAAAATTGCTACTCATATCAGCTCGTATAACAGGTTTTGACGAACCTCAATGTTCGGTAACCTTAGAATATTAACCAAATTCTAATAACTCTCTGTAGACAAATGTGGAGGCCCTCGCTTCGCTAGGCGCCAGTCGATGTTCTTTTACGGCGTGAAAAATAGACAAAATCACGATGACTTCGACATCCACTTCAGTTATGCTCAACCAATTTTACCCGTAGTCTCATCAGCAAAGGGGAGGGAGGACGATACTCCTTCTTCGAATTCCTGAACTCCCAAAATACTCAAAATGGTGGAAAAAATCCCAACAATACCTAGAAATGCCCGCAGAATGAAACACAACACCAAAATTTAATGCTTCAAAGAATCAATTATATTTTGTAATCAGAATTAAATGTAGGATTTTACAAAAGCAGATAATGTTCGTGTTTGACTCGATACAAGTAGAAAAAATGATAAATCCCGAATTTGGGAGGGTCAAAATGACCCGGCAACGACAAATAATCAAAAAACGCCCGAATTATCCTTACGAAACCAATCAGAAATAATGTACGAAAATTACAAATCAGAAACAATTAACAAAATTATAAAAGTGGAGAAGATCCCCCTCTAAATGGTTTGAGACCAAGGAAAACGAGAAGTTTGACCGTTATCACGGGTACTTATCTCACTTAGTCCGTTAATTGAGGTTCAGGATCGTCCCAGGTCGTCCAGGAGGCGTCTCGTCTCCCATAAGTCCAGCAAATCAGCCTCCTTCCAGACTATGCTGCTCCAGGCCGATTACTCAGCTCTCGATGTCTGATAATCTTTTACTCCAACCCTATCATTACTTCCCAAAATCTATTAATCTTTGATTTCAACTCAATTACTTTACAATCTCCTGACTACTAAATCTGTTACGTAATCTATTGCTCTCTGACTTCTATAATAACTGCTACTCTCAACTATTACGTCTCGGGGAGAACTGCGGGGCCTAGATTTTCGCACGTAGGCCCACAGTTCCCTCGAAATCGTGAAAATGTCACGTGATGGGGGTTGTTGTACCCCCTCCTTGGCCCTCCTTGTTCCACGTGATTCCTTTTCGGGAAGAATTCCCCCAATATTGCTCTGGGCATCCTCTCGCCCTTCAGTCCCCTCGTCAACCGATTGTGGAGACTGGTGGTCCGGTGCATCTCACCAGCTGAATTAGGGTCCTCTTGATATGACCCCAAGAGATTTTTCTCGGAGTCTCCTCTTCCTTTTTTCCAGCCATCTCCCAACAAAATTAAAAGACGGTTAGAGGTGTTATCCTCCTCTCCACGATACCCTGATGGTTTCTGTTCGTTTAATAATAAAAGGGAAAGGGGAGTGTGAGCTCCCCCCGAGGCTCAGATCGAATTTTATTTTTTACTAATTTTCGTCATGTGCCTTGCGACAATGATAATCGTCGCAAGCTCACCCTTGGAAATTGTAAATTCCTACACCCATCTAGGAATTCCTTTATCTTGAATCGCCCTTGCCGGCCCCGCCGTTATGAAAAGTCAAGCAAGCCACAAGTGCAACGTTATCCGGAGTCTCAACTGGGTGTTAGTTCTAGGGATATACAGGATGTCCCACAACTGATCCTTTTCCTCCGAGGGTATTGAACAGGATCATTTTTGGGGATGAAAATTCCTCTTCATTTTTCGATCAGACGATTTTTTTTTTTAAATAAATTTGTCTGACTTTATATTTTTCATAGTCTGTTACGACTTTTTCCAGGGCCGAAAATTATTATTTTTTTTCTAATAATTTCGCACAGTTTATTGCCACATATTCACCCAGCTACGGCCACATTTCCCCTTCTTGCCCTCTCGCGCCTCACATCTTTTTCAGAAAACGAAAAAGCAATTATGGAATAGATTATTTCCTTCGTTCTTTATCTTCTTTTTTTATTGGAATTCTTTAATGGGAGCGTTCAAATATTACGTCGCACAGGAGGGAGGGGGGGAGGTCAGTATTTTACTCAGGCCTGACAAGCAGGTCAGGGAGGTGGGGCGGGGTGCTCGTCTGGGTTGTGATGTAACACCAACATCTTCCCTTCAATTTTTTAATTAGAAAATCACAAATGCAATTTTTGTCTTATTCCTCTAAAAAAAAAGAAAGAAATTCTGAAGTATCGCCAGATGTCGATACTACCTATTATCGATATTTTTATGCGCAATACCTAATATTTTGTATCGATACTTACCCATCGATGCATTGGGTGTATCGATACAATTTGGCCAGTATTGGATCGATTTTTTTTTCAAGGCGAGGGTCATAAGCGGAGGGTTACAAATGTAACAAGGAGATGATCAAATTTAACGAGGGTCAAAAGGGAATGGTCAAATTTTATAAAGGTCAAACGTTATGAGGGGATAATCAAATTTTTTCGACAATCAAACATCATCGAGTCAGTAGGGGATGATTGAACTTCACGAGGCTTGAACGTCGCGAAGGTCACAAGAGGATGGTCTAATTTCACGAGGGTCAAACATCACGAGGGTCACAAAGGAATGGTTAAATTTTGCGAGGGTCAAACATCACGAGGGTCTGGAGAGGATGATTAAACTTCACGAGGGTTACAAAGAGATGGTCAAATTCCATGTGGATCACAAGGGAATGGTGAAATTTCACGAAGGTCACAAGAGGAGGGTCAAATGTCACAAGGGTCACAAGGAAATGATCAAATTTCATGAGGACCACAAGGAAATGGTAAGATTTCGCAAGTAATCGCGAGGAATCATTTTCCGGAAAATCATGGTAATTGGGTCTTTACCAGGGGATTAAAAGGGGAGACTTTACCCCCCCCCCTTGTTGGATCAATTTTCTACGCTTCAGATACATGCCTCCCCCTTCCAACTCCTTATAACGTCTCAATTTCCATGATTTCTGAAAGAATTTAAAAACTCCATTTTTTATTTAAACAAAACATGGATCTGGAGAGATGAGGGTGGCTCAAATAAAACCTACAACCATCCCCCCTATTCGAGTACAATTTTCTAACCTCTATATGCATTTCTCTCCCCCCCCCTTTGAAAATGACCTCATCCGGTAGCCACGCAGGCATGAATTCGTCTGAGAACTCCCACTTTCACATGCTGGGATTTTTCCGCATCCAAATTGGTTGCAGCTGCATGCAGTCAGACTACCAAATTCTTTGTGAGCTCTGGATCTATCTTGTAGACTTGATCATCCAAATAGTCCCAAATTAAAAAGTCTGGTGACGTCAAATGAAGGGATCTACGGATAAAAATACATTATTTCCCGGTATTTCGCATTTTCATCGAGCAGTCTGATCGCGCAGGCTAGTGGTCCACTACGGCCGAACCAATGGTCAGGGAACTGAACATCGAGTTAGGTGGTGAATTGGGGAGGGAAGTGAGGTGGTGCTCGATCCTTCTTGAACAATCAATGGGATCTAGCGTCGAGTGGCATGTTGTTCAGTATTTCCGGAGTGTCTTCGTGGTAAAGCGCGGAACTGTTGACCTCGAGAAGAAGAACAATGGAAAATAGAAATATGTTCCTCGTGGTATGTATGTACTGATGTATATGGGGGTGTGCGTACTAAATACTTATATTTACATAATCCGGTAGTGGAGAATGAAATACTCTATCACCCACCATTTTCCCCATATGCTGCTTTTCCACTGTGTCTGAAGACACTTCTCCCTCACCAAGGAAATTTTATAAACAGCGCAATCAGTGAAAGTATGCTGATTGGAAATGCCTACTTTAGTGAACATAAGTGAGCATGATTTGGGTCCGAAAATTTTAATTTTGGTGATACAAGGCCAGAAACTCTCGGCAGTAGTGCAGACACTGCTCCGCATCTTCTGGCTTGAGTTTCTCAACTTTTGCATAGTCATATGAGTGGAAAGGATCGTGCATCCGGATGCGATTAACTATTGACTTCAGACAGTCGATTGCTCTTCCACTCGCCCGACAACTAGTTATCAAATCTTCCTCCACACATGCCGAGACTTCTTCCCCGACGTCAAGGTCCCGCCGAGACCTTGTGCTTTGTGAGATACTCACGTGGTTACGGATGTCGTCGATTGGGCCATCTATCACGGTGTCTTTGCACTGCCTCTACTCCATGACACTCGTGTTCACTATAAATACAATGCATATCGACATACTCGTTCAGTATGTAATACTCCATTTTTCATTTCAAGTATAATTTCGGCAAAAAATCAAACACAGATTCTCTCTCGTTGAAACACAATATTTACCTATTATTTTCTCCATTCATCCTTGGAGTAACTTCGAAAACCTTCACAATCTTCCAATGTTTACATTCTGGAGTGAAATAAGAGAAGAAGTAAATAGAATAAATACAGAAAACGAAATTTGATTCCTCTATTCACATCGTCTTTTGATCTCTATTTATGTAAACACTGGGGTTCTTGGGGATTCTCGGACACTTCTTCAGTGATAAATAACAAAAACTAGAAGTAAATACTGTGTTTTGGAGAGGGAGAGTCAGTCGCGACTGATTCTTTGCCGGAGTAAGATGTGAATTCAAAAATCATGGAGAAGAACACAGCGAACGAGTACGCTGACATGCATCTCATGTATGGTAAATGAGACTGTAATGGAGCATAGGCAGCGCAAAGATATTGTGAGAAATACCCCCATCCGCCACATCCGTATCCACAAGTGTTCCAGGATGTGGATGCTCGCATGCGGGAGGGCCAGGTGATGCCAGATCACGGAGGGAGACGTCAACGTCGTCTTGACGACGAAGAGCAAGTCTTGGCATACGTGGAGGAAAACCCGATGACGAGCTGTCGGATGATTCAAAGCGAGACCGGCTGCCTGAAGTCAACGGCGAATCGCATCCTGCTGGACAATTCTCTTCATCCGTTTCACTACACAATGGTCCAGAAACTCGAGCCAGGAGATGCAGAGCAGCGTCTGCGCTACTGCCAAGATTTTCTGGCCTTGTATTACCAGACTGAAAATTTTTTGTCCCAAATCATGTGGACAGATGAAAGTCTGTTCACTAGAGAAGGCATTTTCAATTAGCATAATTTACATAGTTATACTGTTGAAAATCCTCACTTGGTGAGGGAGAAAAATTTTCAGACACGGTGGAAAGTAAATGTGTCGGGAGGAATTGTGGGTGATCGGGTACTTCTGTCCCGGCTTCCGGATTATATGAATGTGAGTATTTATTAGGTACAGATCCGCACACATACGACATACTCCTAGGAAAATCTTCCTATTTTACATTTTTCATCATCTCAGGGTCAACAGTACCTTGCTTTTATTAAGCAGACACTTCCGGAAATGCTGGGCGTAGTACCACTCAGCACTAGACCTCAGTGGTACCAACAGGATGGAGCACCACTCTGCTAAAGAAGTCACCGTCTACCTGAATGAGCAGTTTCCTGGACATTGGTTCGGTCGCTTTGGCCCGCTTCGCTGGTATACCGGAAAATGAAAAATTTCCATTCCTATTAGATCCCCTGATTTGACTCCGCTAGACTTCTTCCTTTGGGGCTATCTGAAGGAACAAGTCTAAGAGACCGAACCAAAGAACGTGGAGGACTTGGTGGCATGACTGCATGCAGCCGCAATCAATGTGGATGCTGAAATGCTCCAGCATGTGAAGATGGGAGTTCCCAGGAGAATTCATGCTTGTGTGGCTGCTGGAGGAGGTCATTTTCAGCAACTGCCATGAGGAGCTCGATGAAGAGCATTACGATCGGCCCTTTTCAGGGCCACCAAAAATTGAACGTGGCACAACGAAAGTCTTTTAGACCGAAAAATGAATAGCAAAAAGATTTCTTTCCTTCTTTTTTTATTGAAAAATCTGCCTACTCATGCTATCATCATCCTCCACATGCATCTTATGGATGATATGAAACGCAGCCAAAAACAACGTCAATTATAAAAATGATTCCCATCGACATTTTTGGAAAGTTTCTTTTCATGTTATTTCTTAGGCCTGTTGTCCAGCTGATAGATAAGAGAGACGACATGTTCTCATCTTCTCTCAGTCCCTTGACGTCCGAAGTAATTGTGAAAAAGGGAAAAACATTACATTTTATTAGGAACATTTTAGACACCCTCCCATCCTACCATCACAAAATCCAAGACTCCCCCCCCCACGTTCTGTAGATTGTTTAGTTGTTATTTTTTTCATGAAATGTGATTTCAACAAGAATGAAAAAAAACTTGAGAAAACGTGAGAAATGAATTATTTATTTCATACGCATGCTATTGTTAAATCACCGAGGGTTGCTGGGTTTGTGACCCGCTCGGGTTTTTTGATACATACAAACATATTGATACGGTGTACTCTTTCGAACGCAAATGCCCAGTACCGATACTTGAATGTAACGATGGAGTATGTATCGATACACGTACTATGGATATTTTTCAAACTTGCACTAACGCATTTGCTCCAATGTTCTGGTTTTTATAACAAATTTTAGAACAAATTGGTTTTCATAACAAATCTCGCGGTGGTCAAACATCACGAGGATCGCGAGGGTAACAAGAGGATGGTCAAATTTCACGACGGTCAAGAAGGTAACAAGGGAATGGTCAAACATCACAAGGGTCAGGCGGTTCACAAGAGTCTCATATTCAATCCTCGTGACATTTAAGCATTGCTTGGGCTCCCTAAGAATTCTCTCTTATTTTTTTATAAAACCCAATCCATGTTTGTGAGTGGCGTAAGCCATGGCCTCGGCCATACCGTGCCTAAGGATGCGTAGCACAGGGGAAGCTGTATCGCTAACGGTGCCTCTCAGAAACCTGGGCGACCTCTGAGAGTAGTCTTGGGTGTAACCCTCCCGAGACAAGCCAAGCCCTGGGCAATCGCGGCAATGCACCAGGTGAAAACGCTTAACCGCGGTACTCGTGGGACCAAAAATGGAAACCAATCTAAAAAAATCTCAGTATTGAAAAATAAACTTCGGGTGGAACCAGCGATGGCGAACACACGAAGTCTGACAAGGCTGACCAGTCTGGTGCCGATGTGAATCGGGTCAGACTGAGTGGAGCCGAGAGAAGACGTCGCAAGAGAGCGAAGCTGCATCAAACCTCGGGGGCAATTGCAACCTTGGCGGATGCAGCAGCGAAGATCGATGAGGGTAAGGGGGAGGGGGCTGCGAGGAAGGCAATAAAACGCCTTCCATCGGAGCGTACCACGCCAAGCCCCTCAGTCAGACCGAAAGAAAAGAGAATGAGAACGTAGGATCAGGGCACATATGTTCAGAATACTGCGAGCTCATTCAAGTTTGCAGTTATGCCGAAGTCATATCCGGATCACAAAATGGGCACTAAAGAGGTAACGGATGCGAAGAAACTCCTGAAGGGGGCCATTCTGGCGTTACCTGACGGGGTGAAAGCACCCACCTTCATCGGTGTCTGGGAAAGAGAAGGTGTGGCAATGGTGTACTGCACTGATGAGGGAACGGGAAATTGGCTGAAAAGCCTTTTCCCCGAAAATAAAATAGCTGGGCTTACTGTACATGTGGTCGCAGCCTCGGAGCTTCCCAAGAAGCACAGAGTTGTGGTACACGTGGAAGACCCAGATCTAACCACTCAAGAAGCACTTTGCTTCCTTGAGAAACAGAATGCAGGACTGCAGCCAGAGAGTGGATTGTCGCTCGGGGCAGTGAGAGCAGGGACGCGAAAATTGCCCACTTCGTTGCGCTGATAGACGACCGATTACGATCTGTTCTGAAAGCCTGCAACTTCAGACTGCACTGCGGGATTCAAAAAGCAACTGTCAAGCTGCTTGCGAAAGACCGTGGTGAAAGTCAGAAGAAAGGTACATAGAGGTACCAGGAAAGTAGTCATCATTATGGCTGCAACCCGGGTGTACATTGTACAGATAAATTTGCATCACAGCAAAGCAGCCTCGGCTACTCTAGTCAGGCTATTAGCTGGGATGCAGACTAGACTGTGCGGAGGCGATAAGGAGGGCGTCATCCACATTTTATGTGAATGCCCCCTATTAGCACTCCGTGGCTATAAAATCTGGGGCCAGGCTTTCCTGGAACCAGAGGACTTACAACAAGCGGCTGTCACCAACCTTATTAGCCTAGTGAGAAACACAGAGCTGTGTGTCTGACGGAAACTAAGGCGGATGTTACAAAAGATCGTATGATTTAGGTGACTCTGGCGCTTTAAGTGACCAGCCGCGCATATTCTAATTCTAATTCTAATTCTTTTATAAAACCATAAAATTTCATCGAATTTTCTAGAAAACTCGAGGATTTCTTTCATGACGGTCAACCCTCGTGTTATTTGACCCTCGCGAAATTTGACCATTTCCTTGTGATCCTCATAACATTTGATCATCTCCTATGACGCGATGCTCGACCCTCGTGAAATTCAACCATTCCCTTGTGAATCTCCTGAGATTTGACCATCTCCTTATAACCCTCGTGAAGTTTAACCATCCTCTCGGGATCCTCGGGATGTTGGAGCTTCGTAAAATTTAACTATTCCTTTGTGACCCTCGTAATGTTGGATCATCACCATGTAACCCTTGTGACCGTCGTCATATTTGACCCGGGTGACATTTGACTATCCCCTGTGATCCTCGTGGAGTACAACCCTAGTGATGTTTGACCATCCCCTTCTTACCTTCGTGACCCTCGTCATGTTTTACCCTCGTGAAATTTGATGATCCCCTTGTGATCCTCGTGACCTTCGCGGAGTTCAACCCTTGTGACGTTTGACGATCTCCTTGTAACCCTCGTGACCCTAGTGACCCTAGTGAAGTTTGACCATCCCCTTCTTACCCTCGTGAAATTTCACCATTCCCTTGTGACCCACATGAAATTTTCCCATCTCCTTGTAACCCTCGTGAAGTTGAACCGTCCTGTCGGGACCCTCGTCACGTTTGGCCCTCGTAAAATTCAATCATTCCTTTGTGACCCTCGTGAAATTGGACCATCCTCTTGTGACCCTCGCGACGTTCGAGCCTCGTAAAATTTGACCATTCGCTCGGGATCCTTGTGACCCTCATAAAATTTGACCATCCCCTTGTGACCCGCATGATGTTCGATCCTCGTGAAATTTAACCACCCCTTTGCGACACATGTGACCCTCGTGACGTTCTTTGCCTCGTGAAGTTCAACCATCCCCTCGTGACGCTCGTGATGTTTGATCCTCGAAAAAATTTGATTATCCCCGTGTGACCCTCGTGACCCTCATAACGTTCGACCGTTGTGAAATTTGACCATTCCCTTTTGACCCTCGTCAAATTCGATCATCTCCTTGTGACATTTGTGACCCTCGTGACATTCGACCTTCGTGAAAATGGACCATCCCCTTGTGACTTTCGTGATGTTTGACCCTCATAAAATTTGACCATCCTCCTGTGACCTTCGTGATGTTTGATCCTTCTGAAAATTCACCATCGCCTTGTAACGCTGGAGTGACGTTCAGCTCTCGTGAAATTCGATCTTCCGCTTATGAACCTCTCCTAAAAAAAAAGTCGATACAATACTGGCCAAATAGTATCGATGCAAAATCTTAGGTATTACGCATAAAAATATCGATATTGGGATTATCGATATCTGGCGATATTTCAGGTTCTTTCTTTTTTTTTTAGAGGAACTAGCAGTATAAAGCGCGCTACGTGCGCTCGGCACTTAGTGTCTGCATCTTCAATCTCATTGTTGAAGAAATCAATCATTAGATTAATATGAACATAATATTTTATATAATTCTCAGATGCAATTGCATAATTTATCATTACAATTTCACGCGGTTGATTACACAGTCCGACAAAATTTCGATCCCGGTGTGCTCAGACATGAAATTCATCTCATTAGAAAAATTTTTTTGCGCTGATTCCGAATCTGCCCTCCAATTTCCCGGAAATGGGATCGTTGTGGAGAAAAAAAATATTAAAGTTGTAGAAATCATGAAAATCCGGCGATTTCTGAATTCGATAAAAAAATAAACCTAGCACCAATTGTGTTGAAAAAAAATCCGAGAATAATGCGGCGATTTCGATCTTTCGAATGACAACTAGTACCCCGAATTGAGAGCTCTAGATTATTCACAATAAATTCATGAAAAAGTCGATAAAAGCTGTATTTGACATCCGAAAATGCATCATAGCAGAGTCATGTGAAGTTCCAGCCTCACGTGGGAATCAAATTGTCAAACTTTGTGGATTATTTCAACGTAAACGATTATGAACATCGAAGAAATGAGGAGGGTCGTTGCCCTCGTAGAGGCTCAACCTGATCTTTGGCGAAATGGTTTATCAAGGTACAGCAATCTCAATAAATCCATTTGGCGCAGAATTGGCGAGTAATCGACACCCCCACGTACAGGTACAAATTTCAGCACTACGTAATGAGTACTTTCGGTGCACTTGAAAAATATAGTTAAATCTCAACTCTCAACAGGAAATTCGACCTTCTACATGTTCATAGCATTAGGAGATTCTCAACTGCAAGAGAGACGCGTAAATCCTGACGCCCAATTTATTCTGGAGAATCAGCTGATGTTCCTTGACGAAGATGATGATACTTGCTCAATAACATCGTTTGCTGATTCTCCCCCACCTAATGCTCCTTACGTTGACGAAGTACACATTATTGAGTCAGAGTAAGACAATGAGCCTTAGTTGGCGGATTTCTCTTCTATATTTCCATTCATTTTTTCTAAATAATTTACGTTTTATTCTGGAAGATATTAAGATCTAAATATTACGAATTTAAAACCATGTTATCTTGAGAATATTCACAACATAAACACAATGAACTACAAATGATTTCCTATAACCATCTTAAACTCTTTTAATTGGAAAACTCAAATATTGACATACATACATATTGTTCTTACTCTCCTACTTTGAGATTTTGACTTTTTTTCTAGTTTCTGTATTCTTAAAAGAGAGTCGAGAAGCTTTCCTTTTGTGAGTTGCATCGCTTGCATCAAATAAACCCCAGCAGTAATCTGATGGCATTTTCATCACCGACTTCCCGTTGTAACGCTTTCCCAGAGTAGAAATATCCTGATGAAACCGTTCACCGTGCTCATCACTTATATCGAGTAAACTCTCAGGGAAGGATTGAAGATGAGAAAAAAGGAAATGTGATTTTAAGGACATATTACATCCCATCGCGGCGAAATCTTTCAGCATGGTTACAAAGAGCTCTCTAAAGTTCTCAGAACGAGAACTACCCAGGAAGTTCTTGCACACAGTTCAACATCATTCAATACCTTCTCGAATCCGCCGTCATTGTCCATCAGTTTCTTCAACTGCGGACCAATGAAAATTCCTGCTTTCACTTTAGCATCACTCAGTTTCGGGAAAAATGATTTTAAATAACTGAAAGCTTGTCTGTTTTTGTTCAAGGCTTTCACGAAATTTTTAATGAGCCCCAACTTAATGTGCAGTAACGGTAAACAAATCTTCTTCGGCTCAGTTAGTGGTTATTTAATGATACTATGTTTACCACGAGTAAAATCTTGATGCGTAGGCCAATCCTTCTGAGACCAATGGTTTAATTTATCGCGACTGTCCCAATGACATAGGAAACAACAGTACTTGGTCCAACCAAGCTGCAGTTCCGTGATAATAGCTACCATTTTCAAATCAGCTGATATGCGCCACTCGTAGAACTTGTATCCAATCTTATGAAACAAAACATCAATTTTATCGTGAGTTTCTTTGCGGCATGTAGAGTAGGCGATGGGTAACGACGGATAGATGCTCCCAATGTGCAGCAAGACTCCTATCAAACTGGTAATTGAAGAGTCGATGAACAATCGGCATTCCTCCGGATCATGCTCTATCCCCATAGCCTTCATCAATCCATCGATGTCGAAACAATAGCAGGGTAGAATCCTCGAGAGGTTCCTCCTTGAAGAATTGAAGCAAGAAAAACACGTTGCCAGTAGCTTGTGATGCGAACTTCTCAAGTTAGCATGTTTTTCTCTTTCAACCGTGAAGCTAGTAGTTCAGCGACCTCTTTGCTGAGTTTCAAGTCCGTGACCAGGTCATCTAATTCATGTTGATTGAAGTGAATCGGTTCATCAGAGCTTGATGTCTCCGGTGGAGGTTCGTATGCTTCATCAACTTCATTCTTCAGTGGCTGTTTTGTTTCCTGCTCCATATCAGCTACTACAGGCGCTTGGACAGGGATCACCTTACTGCTCAGAAAGACCTTCGGTAAATCAACAGATGATACCTCGATGTATTTGATTTTATCCCTGCTTTTCTTCGTGTACGATCCGATGTCATTTACGCAGAAATAACAGTCACTAATGTGATCTCGAGGCTCTCGCCAAACTGCTGGTGTACTGAACGGTGGTAGTGAAGGGTTTTACCTTTTTTGAATGATCCAATGAGCCAGCGATAGCAATACGAATAGCATTGATCTGGAGTCCAGGATTTCTCCAAATTTGTCATTGAGTAACCGAAGCATTTCTCATACCCTTTCTTCACAAGTTCTGTGATGTTTCTCCTCTGCGACTCAGTAGCAAACTTTGCGCGAACATAACAAAAAAAATTGGGGGAATTTTTGCAATGGCGTGTCATTAATCTTCCACTCTTAAGCAAAGAAAACTCCAAGGACCGTTGGAAATGAGGTTTTTCGTCAAATGAAATATAGGAAACTATGAGAAATGAAGCTCGAAATTGCCTATTGGAATGCATAGTTTTTGTTCATTATGAAAAATTCTAATGAAAATGGTAAGATAAATGGGTGATTCAAGATAAACTTGAACTCAAAATTGAAGTTGCGTGCGCAATCTAAAGCTTTGACGAAGATAGGGCAATTACTGAAAGATTTTTGTCTATTCATCTTATTTCTTAAGAAAAAAACCATTGCAAAAATGTGCCTGTTCTTCATAAATGAGAAATAGAAATATCATTAATAATTTTTCACTCTGGCAAGGAATAAAATGATGAGGAGCATTTCCTTCAAAAGATTTCTTGAGGAACAGCGAAAGTCATTCTCCAGTGTGTCTATGAATCACTCATTACAATTATCATCTATTGAAAATGGTGGAGTTAATCGCTCCTGGCTGGCTTTCTTGTTTCTTTCACCTTCCGTCTTCGTTACTTCTTTCTTCTACCATTATCTGTCAGATTCATTCTCCTTTTAGTATTAGATTTTCCAGCCGAGACACACAGACACAATATATTCATTCCCTCCCAACGGAAATCGCTGTATTGAATGAATGTAATATATTTAAATGCTAAATGTTGAATTAAATTAAACTGAAAATTATTACTTACAAATGGACGTGTAAATCACCATCTCAAACTCATTATATTCATCCTGGGTGTGACATGGATATTCCACAGGTATTATATTCAATACACATAGTTCAAAATGGAGAAGCAACCCTCAATAACCTTTCAAGTTTGGCGGCTGGTTCCCACGTGGAGCTGCAACTTCACACTACTCCGCCATGATGCAATTCCGAATGTCAAATGAAGCTTTTATCGCCTTTTTCGTAAATTTATTATGAATAATCTAAAGCTCTCAATTCGGAGAGCTGGTTGTCATTCGAAAGATAAAAATTTCCGCATTATTCTGAGATTTTTTTCAATGCCGTTGGTGCTAGAGTTATTTTTGTATAGAATTTAGAAATCACCGGATTTTCACGATTCTTACAACTTTAATATT